TCCATCTCCCGGGTTCAAGCAATTCCTGTGCTTCAGCTTCCCAAGTAGCTGGGACTACAGGTGCCCACTACCACGCCCAGCTAATTTTTGTATCCTTAGTAGAGATGGGGTTTCGCCATATTGGCCAGGCTGGTCTAGAACTCCTTACCCCAAATGATCCACCCACCTCAGCCTGCCAAAGTGCTGGGATTATAGGCATGAGCCACTATGCCCATCCAATGGCTTGCTCTTAACAAGTGAAAAGTAATTCCTGAATTAGGTTAGATAACCTATAAGGTCTCTTCTATCTCTAAGACTATTTGATTCCACTTAGTTAAATATAAATTTCAGTAATTTGTAACATACTTCTGGGACTATGTTAAACTCAGATAATTAAGGCAACATTTTGCATTCATGTGATGTCATAAAATACCTAAATAGTACTTTAGCAGCCTGAGGGAGCTAATGTTATTTAACAAAGACTCATATAGTACTTACTCTATGCCCAGCATTGTTCTAAGTGTATTGTGAATACTAACTCATTTATTCAGTACTTTCAGTATATTTACTAAGTTCTAATGAAACTTAAAAATTATGTGAACATTTACCAGTGAACTAATGTACACAGTTACAGTCACATGCTCTTTGAAATTAAAATTATTCATTCTGATAAATGGGTGATAATGTGGACAAAAAAATTATTCATTCTAACAATTAGGATTATATGACAATAACATAAATCTGGTCAGTTAACTCTCCTAATTGAAATTCTTTGACTGCCTTCAGGACAAATTCCAAATTCCTCAGCAATTCATGAAAGTGCTGCAGCATCTACTCCCTGCTTTCCTGTTTTATTTTATCTGTCCCTGAAATCTTTACTACTTGCAATTAACAAAAACATATCCTGATTCCCACGTACCCATGTACTTACCGCCTCTTTGGTTGGATATACTCACTCTTCCCTTTAATGCAGCAATTCCTAACTTACCCTCAAAACATGGCTTCCCCAGAGAGCCCCTAACTGCTCACTTGGGTTAAGTACTAGCCTTCTCTGCCTTCACCGGTCTCTGTGATCACCTCCAGAAAATCACAGGGCAAAGTATAATTGCCTATTCACCCATTCATCTTCCACTTCTTTAAGAATTCCTTAAAGGCAAAACTGTGTCTTATATCTCTAAATGCCCAGGGTCTTGCATAAAAATTAGTAGAGAGTAGGAACACAAGTAAAGAAATACCTTTTAGGCCAGGCACAATGGCTCACGCCTGTAATCTCAGAAATTTGGGAGGCCAAGGCAGGCCGATCACAAGGTCAGGAGATTGAGACCATCCTGGCTAACACGGTGAAACTCTGTCTCTACTAAAAATACAAAAAATTAGTCATTTGTGGTGGCACACACCTGTAGTCCCAGATACTTGGGAGGCTGAGGCACAAGAATCACTTGAACTCGGGAAGCGGAGGTTGCAGCGAGCCAAGATTGCGCCGCTGCACTCCAGCCTGGGTGACAGAGCAAGACTCCATCTCAAAATAAATAAATACATAAATAAATAAATGCCTTTTAAAGAAACAAATCAACAAATGTATATAAGCTCTGTGAGTCCACAGAAAATCACCCTAATTTTATTTATGAAGCAGAAAGGAAGCTGATAAAAAATATCTATAGGTGGCCAGACACAGTGGCTCATGCCTGTAATCTCAGTACTTTGGGAGACTGAAACAGGAGGATCACCTAAGGTCAGGAGTTCTAGACCACCCTAGCCAAAATGGTGAAATCTTATCTCTACTAAAAATACAAAAATTAGCCAGGTGTGGTGGTGTGCACCTATAATCCCAGCTATTCAGGAGGCTGAGACAGAAGTATCACTTGAACCCAGGAAATGGAGGTTGCAGTGAGCTGAGATCATGCCATTACACTCCAGCCTAGGCGACAGTGCAAAACTCCATTTCAAAAACAAAACAAAAAAAAAACCTATGAGCATCTAAAATTAAAATGCCATAAGTTACATATATTTAATCATTAGGGAAATAACAAGGGCCATAAAAAAATCAACTTATGTTTTCCAGTCCAATGATAGCTCTTAGAAAAACAAAATATGCCAATAGTGCAAGAAAACTCCTCTGTTTCTTAACTGCAGGAAAAGCTAGCCTAAGGTAGCTAGGTCTTTACAATTCTGTGAGATCTGGTCCTAGTTGCCAATGATTTCCACCTGTGGTCTAAGCAGTATGGTAAACCACAGTGGCACTCAGGTGATACAGACATCAACATGTACTACATGTACCTTACTATGTGCAAGGCACTGGGATAACTTTTCATAATAATTACTATGATAAGATGGTATCATTGCTTTCTTTCTGACTTGAATTAATAATCTATTCATACTGTTAAACCTAAATCCTCCCAATTCAATCATACTTCACCAAAAATTAGTCGTTATTCTCTATTGTGAGGTTTATTGCTATAGGAAGCAGAAGCTCCATGAGCACAAGATAGCTTCCACCCCAAGTCAAGAATCCTGTAAACCAAAAAAACTGCACAAATGGTCCTCCATAAATGGGGAGAAAGGGAGGACTAACTTCCTCCAGTTCTCAAAAGTGTTGGTCTTTCACCAACACAGAGAAGGCAGAAGGTACCCGAAGACATTTCCAGCACAAGTCAGAGGTTCTGTGAGTCTCCACGTTCAATCCTGTGGATTTCTTTTTCTATATCTCTACTTCCTTCAGTCTCTCTTCCTCTCCTAGAAAGTCTTTGTAAATTGTTTTAAAGCACTGGCTACAACAGTAAAATCTTGAATGAGAAACTCCACAAAATGAAAGGACTCCATGTCTTCATTGAAAAAGTTGCAAGGGGAAATAAAAGAAACTGAGGGGAAAGAGCCATACATTAAAAGACTTTTTAGGAAAAAAAAAAAAAAAAAAAAAAAAAAAAAAAAAAAAAAAAAAAAAAAAAACAAGCCAGGCTCCATAGCTCACACCTGTAATCCCAGCACTTTGGGAGACCCAAGCCAACAGGTGGGTTGAGCCCAGGAGTTCAAGGTCAGCCTGAGCAACATGATGAAATCCCATCTCTACAAAAACAAAAAACAAATTTAATTAGCCAGATGAGATGGCACATGCCTGTAATCCAAGCTACTCAAGAAGCTGAGGTGGGAGGATCACTTGAGCCCAAGAGTTCAAGACTACAGTGAGCCATAATCATGCCACTGCACTCCCACCTGGGTGACAGAGTGAGATCCTGTTACAAAAATTAAATAAATAAATGAATTGCAATCTACAAACATTATCTGGGTCCTGGTTCAGACAAACAAACTTAAATATATACTCTAAATATATACTCTCTATCTATATATATATATACATACACACACACACAAACATTCACACATACACATACACATATATACATATATGATATTTATGAGAACTGGAAATCTGAAAAACAGGATATTTGATAGTAGTAAGGAATTATTCTTAATTTTTGAAAATATAATAACATGGTTGCATTTTTAAAAGAATCCTTACCATTTAGTGGTATATTCCTAGAATTTTTATGAATGAAATGATATGATTTGTTTCAATACTATACATGAAGGAAAAGAAAACAGAAAAGAAACAGGGTATAGACAAAACAAGATTGGCCACAAGTTGTTAATTGTTGAAGCTGGGGGTTCATTAAATTATCTTACTTTTTTGTGTGTTTAAAATTTTTTTACAATAAAAGGTTGGAAATGAGTGTGAAAATATTCTTCCACAGAATTAAAATTAAATTCAATTAATTTTAATTAATTGAAAAATACAATGACATAAGGAAACTATGTCCCGTGCTTCTTCAGTTTTACCACTGAAATGAGTCAAAATGGAAAAGAAAAATAGGTATTTACCAAACATTAATTCAAATAAAAGAATCCTTAAAGGCTTAACATATTGGGATTTCCTACTAAAATAATCTTTGATGGATATTATGTAGCCCTTTAAATTAATTTCCCACCTTCAATAACAAAATTTTAACAGTACCGACTATTTGGCTACCAATATGAATTTAAATAATATTTTCTATTTTTATATATTTCATGTATACAGATAAGTTAGTATAATTATCACATCATCAAGACATATCTTAAAGTATTTGTGAATATATTTATACCTGTGAAAAGGTTTGGCTTGCCTTTGCTTCAGTCAAGTTTACAAAAATTTTCCAGTACATGAACAAGTCCTGTCTTAATATGTACTTACAGGTGGGTGAACTGCCTGATCAGGTGATGTATAGAAATAAAAAAATACACAGCTCCAGAAGTATTTACTTAAATTTGTCAATAAATTCACAATAATTTTCAGGCATATCTGTGGAAGTGTATCTTGATTTACATACAGATACGGTGATAACACTAGGTTTTTTAAAGCATAATTTATAAACGCTCAACAAACAGCACAGCCCTAATTAAACCAAGAGAATTGCTACCAATAAATAAAGAGGGAGGAGCACACCTTTTTTAGAAGGTAGGGTACATCTCTGGTGTCCACAAATCTGAGTGAATAGGACCTTAGAGTTTAGCCTGTTTTTACAGTTTGGATTTCTTAAGAACGTCTAGCATTGATTTTTTTTTCCAATTTTATTTTTACAGTATCAATTTTGGGTTAAATTACTTATGAAGTCTCTTTGAGGAGTAAAACAACAACGATGATGATTCAAACCCTGCCCAAATACTACCTCCCTTCTCCCTATGCATGCCTGACTTTTGCTTGACAGATGTCACAGGGCTCTCCAACTTCTCTCAGGTCACTGCACTGCTGAAAGCACCCCGCACAAACTCCCCTCGGGCAAAGCCCTCGGCCTGTGGTTCTTTTGGTTCTTTTTGGTACCCTTTTCCCTTCTTTTTTGCACAAGGAGCGCCATGCATGACTCGAATCGGGACTGAGCTCATTTCACCCAAGAAGACATCGGGTCTCCAGGGCAACCGAGCGCAATGGTGGGGTCGCGGGTGGGCCGGGCGGCTCAGAGGACCACCTCCCGGACCCAGCCTCTCACCTTCCGGCCTCCGGTGTCGCCCCGCACCAGCGTGTCGAGCACGTCGTGCCGAGTTTCGTCTTCGCCGTCCGAGCGGTAGATGAGGCGCAGCGGCACGATGCTCTGGCGCTCCAGGAAGCGGTTTTCCTTCCTCTTCTCTAGCTCCGTCAATGAGGCGTCTCCTCCAGGCAGGAAGGGGGAAAGGAGGGAGTGGAAAGAAAAGGCGAAAATAATGACCCTGACCCGCACTTCTCCATCCTGCGGTCCTAGGTCTCCCCTACGAAAATCCCCAACGCCCCCTTCCTCTCGGAACCCATCTGGGAAGGATGCAGAGATACCAGCCGGAGAGCCTTGGACCGGCTCATCCAAGAGCATCCAGGAGCGGGGCCCAGAAGAAGGGCACCCCTTTCCCATTCTCCCCATTCCTCTTCAGAAGGAGAAAAACAGGCTTTGACCGAAGGCTTCTAGTGCATCCCCGCGCCCCCACATATATATTTTTGCTCCACTTCTCACTACCCTCCCGGAAAAAAAAAGAAAAAAAAAAAAAATCTCCCCGCGCACTCTGGAAATGGGGATGCCCCTTTTCAATACGCCTAGGGGCTCCAAAGATTCCGGGGAAATGGTACAGCCCGAAGGCACAGAGGGCGGCTAACTTACCTGCTTGGCCGCAGCGCACCGGGGGGCAGGTCCCCAGGGCGCAGAGCAGCAAGAAGGGTACGGACGCAGCCGCAGCCGCCAGCATGGTGCTGCCGTCAGCCCGCCTCGCCTGAGACGCTCAGCTCCTCATGCCGGGGCCGGCGAGTCAGGCTCCCTCGCTCCGCGCCCCCGGGCTCCCCGAGGCCACCCCTTCCCAGCCCCAGCCTGTGCTGCGGCGGCCGTGGCGCTGCAGCCTCCACCGCGGCTCAGTGCTGCATTGTGCTCCGCGGGCGCTTCCGCTGGCGGGGGGAGCGAGCGAGTGCTGCATTGGGCGGTTGGCTGTAGCTAAGTGGTTTCTAGCGCCTCCCACCTCATCCCCTGGCAGTGGCTCGGGCGGGCGAGGAGCGCTCGGCAGGGAGCGAGCGCCGGTGCACTCGCCCCCCGCCCGCGGGAATGGGCGCGCGCAGGAGAGTCAGCCGGGAAATGTAGTTCTGTCTCCGCGTCCCGCTTGTCTCCGCGTCCCGCTTGTCTCCACAACAGCACGGACTGTCGCGACCTCGTGACTGTGAGGTTGGGGTTGGGAGGGGGTTAGCCCACTTTTTTTATGGGATTGTTTGGCTTTTTTCTTGCTGATTTGTTTGAGTTCTCTGTAGATTCTGGATGTTAGTCCTTTGTCAGATGCATAGTTTACAAAATTTTCTCCCACTCTTGTAGGTTGTCTGTTTACTCTGCTCATTATTTCTTTTGCTGTGCTGAAGCTTTTTTGTTTAATTAGGTCCCATCTATTTATCTTTCTTTTGTTACATTTACTTTTGGGTTTCTGGTCATGAAATCTTTGCCTAAGCCAATGTCTAGAAGGGTTTTTTCTGATGTTATCTTCTAGAACCTTTATGGTTTCAGGTCTTAGATTTAAGTCTTGATCCATCTTGAGTTGATTTTTGTATGAGAGATCCACTTTCATTCTTCCTTCTTTCATTGTTCTACATGTGGATTCCCAATTATTTCAGTACCATTCGCTGAATAGGATGTGCTTTCCCCACTTTGTGTTTTTGTTTGCTTTGTGGAAGATCAATTGACTGCATTTGGCTTTATTTCTGGGTTTTCTATTATGTTCCATTGGATTACATGCCTATTTTTATACCAGTACCATGCTGCTTCGCTGACTGGCTGTATAGTATAGTTTGAAGTCGGGTAATGAGATGCCTCCAGATTTGTTCTTTTTGCTTAGTCTTGCTTTGGCTATGTGGGTTGCTTTTTTGTTCCATATGAATTTTAAGATTGTTTTTTCTAGTTCTGTGAAGAATGATGGTATTTTGATGGGAATTGCATTGAATCTGTAGACCGCGTTTGGTAGTTTATTTTCACAATATTGATTCTACCCATCCGTGAGCAAGGGACATGTTTGTATTTGTTTGTGTTGCTTATGATTTCTTTCATCAGTGTTTTGTACTTTTCCTTGTAGATGTCTTTCACATCCGTGGTTAGGCATATTCCTAAGTATTTATTTTTTTGCAGGTGTTGCAAAAGGAACAGTTTTGATTTGATTCTCGGCTTGGTCACTGTTGGTGTATAGTAGAGCTACTGATTTGTGTACATTAATTTTGTATCCTGAAACCCTGCTGAATTCATTTACCGGTTCTAGGAACTTTCTGGATGAATCTTCAGTGATTTCTAGATATACGATCATATCATCAGCAAACAATAACAATTTGACTTCTTCTTTACCAATTTGGATGCCCTTTATTTCTTTCTCTTGTCTGATTGCTCTGGCTAGGACTGCCAGTACTATGTTGAATAGAAGTGGTGACAGTGAGCATTCTTGTCTTGTTCCAGTTCTCATTGGGAATGCTTTTAATTTTTCCCTGTTCATTATAATGTTGACGGTCCGTTTGTCATAGATGGCTTTTATTACCTAAAGGTATGTCCTTTCTATGCCAATTTTGCTGAGGGTTTTGATGCTGGATTTTGTCAAATGCTTTTTCTGCATCTATTGAGATGGCCATGTGATTTTTGTTTTTAATTCTGTTTATGTGGTGTATCATATTTATTGATTTATAAATGTTAAGCCATCCCTACATCCCTGGTATGAAAACTACTTGATCATGATGAGTTATCTTTTTAATATCCTGTTGGATTGACTTAGGTAGTATTTTTTGAGAATATTTGTGTCATGTTCATCAGGGATGTATGTCTGTACTTTTCTTTTTTGTTACGTCCTTCTCTGGTTTTGGTATTAGGGTGGTACTGGCTTCATAGACTGATTTAGGGAGGATTTTCTCTATCTTTTGAAATAGTGTCAATAGGATTAGTACCATTTCTTCTTTGAATGTCTGATAGAATTCAGCCATGAATTCATCTGGTCGTGGACTTTATTTTTGCTGGCATTTTTTCTATTCTCATTTCAATCTCATTGCTTGTTATTGGTCTGTTCAGATTCTGTATCTTCCTGGTTTAATCTTGAAGGGTAGTATATTTCCACAAATTTATCCATCTCCTCTAGGTTTTCTAGTTTATGCATGTAAAGGTATTTATAGTAGACTTGATAATCTTTTGTATTTCTCTGTTATCAGTTGTAATATCTCCCGTTTCATTTCTAATTCAGCTTATTTTGATCTTTTCTCTTCGTTTTTTGGTTAATCTCACTAAAGTTCTATCAATTTTATTTCTCTTTCCAAAGAACCAGATTTTGCTTTATTTATCTTTTGCATTTTTTTTTGTTTATTTCAATTTCATTTATTTCAATATTATTTAGTTCTGCTCTTGGTTATTTCTTTTCTTCTGCTGGGTTTGGGTTTAGATTGTTCTTGCTTCTCCTGCTCCATGAGGTGTGACCTTAGATTGTCTATTTGTACTCTTAGACTTTTTGATATAGGAATTTAATGCTATGAACTTTTCTCTTAGCACTGCCTTTGCTGTATCCCAGAGCTTTTGACAGGTTGTGTCACTGTTATTGTTCAGTTCAAAAATTTTTTTAATTTCCATCTTGATTTCATTGTTGACCCAACAATCATTCAGGAGCAGGTTACTGAATTTTCATTTATTGCATGGTTTGGAGTGTTCCTTTTGAAGATGATTTCCAATTTTATTCTACTGTGGTCTGAGAGAGTACTTGATATAATTTCAACTTTTTTTAATTTACTGAGACTTGTTTTGTGGTCTATCTTAAAGAATGTTCTATGTAATTATAATGTATATTATGCAGTTATTAGAATGTTTTGTAAATATCTGTTAAGTCCATTTGTTGTAGGTTTAAGTCTATTGTTTCTTTCTTGACTTTCTGTCTTGATGACCTGTCTAGTGCTGTTAATGGGGTTTTAAATTCCCCTACTATGATTCTGTTGCCAACTATCTCATTTCTTAGGTCTAGTAGTAATTGTTTTATAAATTTTGGAGCTCCTGTATTAGGTGCATATATATTTAAAATTGTGATATTTTCCTGTTGGACTAGTCCTTTTATCATTATATAGCATTCCTCTTTGTCTTTTTAAACTGCTGTTACTTTAAAGTTTGTTTTGTTCAATATAAGAATAGCTACTCCTGCTCACTTTTGAGGTCCATTTGCATGGAATAATTTTTTCTACCCCTTTACCTTAAGTTTATGTGAGTTCTTATGTGTTAGGGTGAATGTCTTGAAGACAGCAGAAACTTGGTGAATTATTATCCTTCTGCCATTCTCTATCATTTAAGTGGAGCATTTAGGCCATTTATATTCAATGTTAGTATTGAGATGTGAGGTACCATTCTATTCATTGTGTTATTTGTTGCTTGAACACCTTGGGTTATTTTTTATTGTGTTATTGTTATATAGGTCCTGTGAGATTTATTCTTTGAGGGGGTTCAATTTGGGTGTATTTCAAGGATTTGTTTCAAGACCTACAGTTCCTTTTAGCAATTCTTGTAGTGCTGGCTTGGTAGTAGTGAATTCTCTTAGCATTTGTTTATCTGGAAAAGACTGTATCTTTCCTTCCTTTGTGAAGCTTAGTTTCACTGAATACAAAATTCTTGGCTGATGATTTTTTTTTTAAGAAGGCTAAAAATTTGACACAAGAACAGAAAACCAAACACTGCATGTTCTCACTCATAGGCGGATGTTGAGCAGTGAGAACATGTGGACACAGGGTGGGGAGTATCACACACTGCAGTCAGTTGTGGGTGGGGCTAGGAGAGGGACAGCAGGGAGTGGGGAGAATGGGGTGGGATAATGTGGGGAGAAATACCAGATATAGGTGATAGGGGAATGAAGGCAGCAAACCACCTTGCTATGTATGTACCTATGCAACAATCCTGCATGATCTGCATATGTACCCAGAACCTAAAGTACAATAAAAAAAATTAAATAAATAAAAGAAGGCTAAAAATAGGGCCCTAGTCTCTTCTAGCTTATAGGGTTTCTGATGAGAAATCTACTGTTAATCTGATAGGTTTTCCTTTATATTACCTGATGCTTTTCCCTCACAGCTCTTTAGATTCTTTCCTTCATCTTGACTTTAGGTAACCTGATGACCATGTGCCTATGCAATGATCTTTTTGTGACAAGTTTCCCAAGTGTTCTTTGAGCTTCTTGTTTTGAATGTCTAGATCTCTAGCAAGGTCCAGGACATTTTTATTGATTATTCCCTCAAATATGTTTTCCAAACTTCTAGATTTCTCTTATTCCTTTGGAACACCAATTATTCTTAAGTTTGGACATTTAACATAGTCCTAAACTTCTTGAAGTCTTTGTTCATTTAAAAATTTTTTTTTTCGTTGTCTTTGATGGATTGGGTTAATTTGAAAGCCTTGTCTTCAAGCTCTGAAGTTCTTTCTTCTGATTGATTCTATGGCTGAAACATTCCAATGCATTTTGCATTTCTCTAAGTGTGTCCTTGGTTTCCAAAAGTTGTGATCACTTTTTATTTATGCTGTCTATTTCACTGAAGAATTTTCCTTTAGAGCCTGTATGATGTTTTTGATTTAAGTTGGACTTCACCTTTCTCAGGTGACTCCTTGATTAGCTATTACCCTTCTAAATTCTTTTTCTGGCAATTCAGAGATTTCATCTCATTTTGGATCCATTGCTGGTGAGCTTGTATGATTTTCAGGGGATGTTGAAGAATCTGGTTTTGTCTTATTACCAGAATCGTTTTTCTGGTACTTCTCATTTGGGCAGACTATGTCAGAGGGAAAATCTGGGATTCAAGGGCTGCTGTTCAGAATATTTTGTCCCACAGTGTGCTCCCTTGAAGTGATGTTCAAACCCCTTCCCCTAGGAATGGGGCTTCCTGAAAGCTCAACTGTAGTGATTGTTTTTGTTCTTTGGGTCTAGCCACCCAGTAGAGCTCCTGGGCTCTGGGCTGGTACTAGGGAGTGTCTGCAAAGTGTCCTATGATGTGATCTGGCTTCAGGTCTTGCAGCCATGGATATCAGCACTTGCTCTGGTGAAGTAAC